AAAAGCGCTGCGCGTAGCAATACTGTCCAGCAGAAGTAACGCAGCAATTGCAACTGCTACATGAAGCCGCTACGTAGCGCTAGCTTCGGCTAAACACACCCATTGATTATTCTTCTGTGATTAGTCTGTGATTGGTCAATTTCTTATAACTTAAAATTTACGACTGTATTGTAAAACAGGCTTAAAAGGAAGAGCCAATCACGTTTGATTGCTGAACACAGCTAATATCGAAACGCACCCATAAATGATTACGTTCAGAAAACTCAACGGTTGAGAGATCACCACTTATGATAGGACTATTCTTCAAAACCTGATTCGGTTTCAAAAGTATGATCCAATCATAAGTGATTATCTCTCAACCGTTGTGCAACTGTCGAGTTGTCTGAACAAACCCATCGAAAGTTTCTTATTTTCAATCAATGGTCTAGTTTCCACTGAAGCATTAATTCACACCTAATACGACGTAGAATCAAATTTAAGTTTCGATGAAAACCTGTCAAATTGCACTGATATTTCACTTTCGCTTCGATGTACTCCACTTCCAATGGAAACGGAACTCTAAATTTGATCTGTACCGGAATGGAACCGAATTGAGAGTTTCGGTGGAAACTAGACCAATTATGACTGCGTTCGGGAAGCACGCTATTAGGCGCTATTGTGTCATTCTATCTTTGGGTGCGTTCAGACAAACTCAACAGTTGCACAACGGTTGAGAGACAATCACTTCTGATTGGATCATACTTTTGGAACCGCATCAGATTTTGAAGAATAGTCCTATCATAAGTGATGATCTCTCAACTGTTGAGTTGTCTGAACGCACCCATTGTGTGCGTGCAATCGCGACTGAAATTCCACCTGACCATCAAAAACGTTCCGTTTGTGCGTTTTGTTTTTGCATCGTATCTTGCGAATGATCGCGCACGTTGTTGGAATTAATTTTTATTTATAGAGATATGATTGTATAGTTTCGCGACGAGGACAGGCTGGTTCACTCGCGACTGTTTAACGGAAGAAAAATGAAAGACTGTTCGTACTAACAAAGTTGTTGTTTACTCTATCACTCAAGAAAGTCAAAACTATACGGCGTCAAATATGGGATGCTGCTACAGTTTTTGCAAAGAGGATACCGGACCTCAGGTAAAACGGAGAGAGAAGATTGTTTTTGGATATATTTTTTTTTGGCTCTTATCACTGACGTTGCGTAGGCGACAATCTGCACAAAGTGCATCACACGCCTATTTGATAACGGCGTTACGCATGATAAACATATACATTACATACGCGAGTGTTTTTTATGTTATGATATATACACACACATAATAAACACATAAGATAATTACTTTAAAAGATAGTTATTTTGAAAAGAATATGTTACTTTCATCGTTCTTAGTTGTTAGTATCCCTTATGATATTATTTGTTTACAGAGCGGAGAAGTAAATGAAAGAACACACTTGCTAGTAGATCCAGTCAGTAATAATACAAATATATCTAGAGTACACAGGTGAGTTATATCGCTTATTTGTCAAGTATGTTTTGGACAAGATTGATTGCAAAACAAGGGTATGTTCTAAAATCCTATCTTGGTTACTAAAACACTATATTTCACATCGTGTGTATTATAGTTTTTGATTATCAAGGTAGGATTTTGGAACATACCTCAAGATAAAAATAACAAGAAAAATACAAATTTATACTAAGCTTTGATATACGAGAAAGAGAAATTATAGACATTCTAACAATTTTTTCTTTTCATTTTTATAATATTTACTTTATTTTAAAATACATAATTTATCTCAGTCATATTATATCTCAGTTTTACATACTTTTTTTAGACAAGATTAAACAGGATTTCTCATTTATCTTTTCTTTCAGCGATGATTATGTTAACCAATATGCAAGCTCCGTGCCTAAGAAGACAGATGAACAAAGTGCATTAAATAGAATACTGCACGAAACTGCAGCGTAAGTAGAATTTTTGTTTTAAATTGTTTGTTATTTTCTTACTTCTCTAAATTTCCTGCAAGATCTCTCTTTGAAAGTGAACTATATCTTATAATAGTAAAATTGATTGTTAAAAAAATCATAATAATGTTATTGTCTCTTCTTACAGCAATGTAATAGATGTAGGCGCATTAGACATACATAATCTAGAACAACACGAATACATGGACAGATCACGCGCATACTCAAAGCGAATAGAATCTGGCAGAATAAAACTTCCAGAAAATACGGTTTGCTTGCTTAAAGATATACCTGCTCCGGAACGAATATTAGCAGCTGATCCACTATCTGCCAGAGATGAAGAACTGGTAAGGAAAAATTTTCTTTTTTCTGTCTCACACTTTCTAGTTTGAGACAGCGTTTAATCTAATGAGTTAAACACACAGATTACAGAAATGCTCAACAAGGCTGTGACAGCACTAAGCGATGTAAAAGTTGAACACAAAGAGGATTTGGTTGTGCCATTTCTATCGTGATCTTTAAGTGTTTCAAACTAAGTTATAATCTCATCCTTACTCGACTGGCTATCGTGCAGAGAATCGTGTTATAAAACTATACATCAGAAATAAATCGACCTAATAAGTCCAAAAGTCTAGATTACACCTAAAAGCAAAAGATTGAGGATTTTGTGTAAAATAATGTATCGGATAGAATGTTGTATTATTATTGGTCACTTAAATATTGACACTGGCTTCATAATTATGAAATAGATATATACATATATGTATACTCAGATTTCTCTTTTACTTACAAAAATTTAGTGTTAAGATAGGTGCTATAGATTTTTTGCATCTTTTATCTGTGTGTGTGTGTGTGCGTGTGTGGATGTGAAAACTTTCATATATACAAGATAAAATTATTAATATAAGAAGTACTATTTTTTATGTAAAGGATTTATTTGTTATTGTAATGTTCTAATGATATATACAAGATGTTGCACAAAATAAATTGTATTACCGAGAAGAGAGATTTTATATGCACAAATCAAAATTGGTAGTGTGTAACAGTAATTACGATGAATTGCCTGTTATTGTCAAGAAAATTAATTTAAAAAATTTGTTAAATTTGCACTTGGTTGATGTAGATATTTTAATTTGACCGTAAAGTTCAAGCGATTGTCCCTACTTATAATTTACAAACTCTGACGTCCTTTGCTCTCTGTCAAATTTTCGGTGAAAATTTAGTTACATGTACATACAAGTAAATCTAAGAAATTGCCAAAATCGCTTTATTTTCACGGAAAACAAACTATCAACACAAAAATATTCCGTTCTTAAATTTTATATTTGCATATAAAATTATCTTCTTAACTGTACTATTTATTGTAAGATGTTTTGTATTCATTGAGAGAAAGAGAGAGAGAGAGAGGGAAAGAATGAAAGAATACTTTTTTAAATGCTATTTTATCCCGTTGTGTTACTTTAATCAATTATTTTAGTCAAATTTTCTGTAAAAAAAATATGTAAAATTTTGTTATTATCATATAAGATGTATAATATAGAGAGCACAGAGTTATTGTTCAACTTTCATAAATAAAATATGTGAAAGTTGAGAAAAAAAACCAATTTGAGTGTAAAATAATGAGTAAGGATCAACATTTTTAAAATTCATTATGTTAAACAATTGCAACATTTTGAATATATAAATAAAGTCAATTTTAACATCTGTTGTTTGCCAAATTGATTAACGAGCTTTTTTTTTAAAAAAAAAAAATCATCTAGTTAATTTTGTTCGAAAAGTTTTGTGTGTGCGTCGTTTCTAGTTAAAGAAAATAACGGAAATAGTATATGTCAGTGAATTTTACATTTATCCGAACTTCTTTACGACAGGAAAGCAGCGATAGATTTTTTTTCACTTTCTATTATTGAACTACAATCGTAAGGCAAAAGGTCGGAACCTACCGCTGTGCTTTTCTATAAAGAATGTTTGAACACTTGCAATGGAATTTTCCAGTAGAATTTTATACATATGTGTGTGTGTGTGCATAACTTTTCAAAACGAGAAGATAATATATAACATGTAGATATTTCTTAAAGGTTTTGAATAAGCAGCATTCTGCTCTTATCGGCTTTCTCTCTTATGATTGTACGTTGAGATTAGGTTCTTATCGGGGTGTGTTTTTCCCCTCCCTTTCTTCTTTAGAATGCTCTCTTGAAAAGGGCGTGCTAGGTAAGAAAACTATGAACGGAAGTTAGTTGAAAGAAGAATTTTTATTGATAAATGTTTTTACCTTGATTTTTAATCTTCAACCGCAGTTTTTGTCTGAAAATTTATTATCTTTACGGTTTTTAGGTCTATTTTTTGCTATGGCTTTGTTGAAACGTTCGTCACACACACACGTACACAACACGCCGCGCGCGCGCGCGCACATCCCACACACTCACGAATTTACTCAAAAAGAAACGGAATTATATAAGGTTTAAGAATTTTCTCGAACGTGTTCTATTGTGTCGAGCGTAAAACTTTGGCGTTAACACAATTTCATGCACACGCAGATGTCCTTTATTTAATTGAATAACACAATTGGCGCCGTGAAAAGTGAGAGTTCGGTGGACGCGCGAACTTCGAACGAGCGAGCGGCGGGGGTGGGGGACGAAACACGTCGTTCAATTGGCCGATCGCGTTGCGGTGCAGAGGGGCATCGACCGGTCTCGGCGTCGGTCTGCCATCGGACTCATCGGACTGGCAGTTCACAGCGTTCAGTGCCACCAATACACAAGAGCCGGGGACTGTCTATCGCCGACCATTGGTCCTCGATTCACCGACCAATCATTGGGAAAGTGCCCACGAAAATATCCAATGTAAGTCCACAAATTATCAAACATCAGCCCGATACGCGGCACGGTCGCGCGCTCGCGTTCGCGATTAACCCCGATTTAGCGGGCGCGTTCGCGTTCCGTTCCAGCGCCTTCGCCAGCCTTTGCTGACGCCAAAAAAGCCCTCGTCGCACGGCCATGTTTGTCCAAGAACAATATCGCGCTCTTATCGCATACGGCGGGAGTCCACGTTCCGCGTCCGATGGCGGTCAAACTATCGCTCTATCGCGATATGATTGTAATCGAGCGTTATTCCCGAAGACGCGGTTCGCGTTGCGTCGATCGCAGTCGCCCGCGTCTGTTATGCCGATCTCAGCCGGAAACGCGGTCGAGGAAGCGTGCGTCGCAAAACGGTACTTCGTCTCAACTTTCGTCAGTTCTGCGTTTACACATGAGGACGATGCACGCGATACAGACGAGAGTAACGAGAGCAAACAAACTCTATCTGTTTCTATTCTCGCGAAAAACATCTGCTTGTTATTGGCGCGCGATTTCCGCGCGCGATTGCACACACGTGGGCCCGACGAGACGATTCGGTGCAATCGCCACGTCGACACGATGCATCAACGCTCGTGAACGATCTCAGCCTCGTGTCTCATCGCGATTTTCGACAACTCCTCCGTATTATCATGCATATTATTTACCTGATGTGTAAAGCGATAATGGCTTGGACAATGAAACATGATCGGTACGTTGCTATAGCAATAGATATGTCTCTTGCAGACATGTTTTGGAATTTAAAAATAATGATTTGATGATAAAATTAATTTTTTCAGTGACCGTGTATCATGGAGCAACTTAGCGAAGGACAAGCAGTTGTGGTTGGAAGTACAGGGGGAACTGTGCAAGTAGTTCAGATGGGTCAGGGTGGTCAGACTATGATGCTACCACAAGCTATACAAGTTGCTGCGCCTAATGGACAAATTCAAGTAGTTCCAGTTTCTAGTTTAGCCAGTACTGGTCAACAGATAGTTATTCAGCAGCCACAACAACCACAGATTATTCAGACACCTGATGGACAAACTTATATCTATCAACCTGTACAATTGGATGGTCAAGTTCAGCAAACTCAACCAACAGGTAAATCTGTGCACATATTCATAGAAAAAAAAAAAGAAACAAAAATATATATATCCCAAATTTTGATATGCAGAAGAGACTTGTCTTGAATTTTGATTTTATTTTGAGAATTTTTATTTTCTAGTGATAAATCTTAATGGTAATCTCATGCAACTCGCTGGCACAACATCGCAAAGTACAACTGCAGCACCTACCACAACACCAGTACAACCTTTGGGGAGTCCTTCATCAACAGTATCAGGAGGAGGAAATGTTGTTATGGTAAATATTGAAAGTAATTTATATTTTATATCTGTTGCATATATTGGCTTGTATATAGAAAAATTGCCTAAAGAGAGATAAGACAACTGCTCAGGTGAATAAAATTTCAAATTTAATGTATAATACAAAACTATAGCTAATGGGATTATTTGTTAATGTGTTCTTGATTACTTTTTAATTACTTGTTTATATAAAAGAAGTCTGAGTTTAAACTTAAACAGTCAAGATAATGTGTTTACTTAGAGAATCAACATTACTTAATCTTTAACTTTAAGACTTTTGATTAGATTATTTTTTATTTTGTAAGTAAATTTTTCAACAATTTATGATATTCATATTAATACAATTTATTACGTAGTTTTCATTTTAAAAAAATATACAATAAATATAATTAACTAATTCTTATGCTTTTTGTAATTATGTAATTAATGTAGATGGAATTTATTAAGTAATAGACAACAAACAAGTTGTGAAATTACAAACGTTTTAGCTCTTACTTGAGCCCTCTTCAGTGTACAATTAAATAAATAATCAAATGAATAATCACGCCATGTCACATAAAACGCTATAAAATTGTTTCTAACGCAAACGCAGTTGAAGAGCTCGATGATAAAAAATAAAATTGTAAAGTCTTAGGAAGTTCATTGCAGGATGTAATATTTACTGGTATAATTGTGAGACTTCCTGAAAAAGTTATGTCAATAAGAGTCCAAACAAAGGCACAACAACGAATGAAAACAATTTAACTTACATATCGAGAGTCAAGAATCGAACATTGAACAGAGAGCAAAGGCAACAGTTTATATATACAAGTCCCCACTACTGTGATAAGGTCTAGGTAAACAAATCCGTTGGAATTCAAAATTTGGATGATTGTACACTGAAGAAGGCTCAAGTAAGAGCCAAAACGTTTGTAATTTCACAACTTTTTTGTTGTCTATTAATTAATAAATTTTAAAGAACTTTTGTGTGACTCGAAATAGACCTTATTGGAGTTTTCTATTTATTGTTGTTATTACGAGCGAGTTTATTATTATATTTATTATATTACTTTTATGTTATATGTAGATGGTTCCAGGCAACAGTGGACAAACACAATTTCAAAGGGTAGCGTTGCCCAATGCCGAACTTCTCGAGGAAGAACCACTGTACGTCAATGCAAAGCAGTATAGAAGAATACTGAAGCGTCGTCAAGCACGTGCTAAATTAGAAGCCGAAGGAAAAATACCTAAGGAAAGACCCGTATGTATTTTTAAATTTTTACAATTTTGTATTTTCAAAAATACTTATAAAAATAAAATTAGGACTGTAAAAGAAATTTAAAAAACTAACTTATACATGTAGTTCTTACTTAAATGTGTAGAGTTTTGTTTTGTATCTCATGCAAATATTTGGAAATAACACGAACTTTTGTTGTCTTACAGAAATATCTTCATGAATCTCGTCATCGTCATGCGATGAACAGAATTCGTGGAGAGGGTGGTCGTTTCCATTCAGGGCAAGTAAAAAAGCGGAAGTAAATGTTACTTTGTATTTACATAATATAAATATCTATTGTAAAAAAAAAAAAAAAACACTTTAAGGGTGTCTCTCTTTCTGTCATTCTGATGAGTTTACTCATATAAAGGCGTAATGATTCCAGTAGTGAGAACTTTATGATAATAACATTGCAACTTTAGATAACACCGATAGATGCATAGAGACAAAAAGAGAGTTTTTAGAAAATGATTTATCTTTGAACTTTCCGATGAAAGGAGATTCGAATCACATTTTATTATTTATAGAATTTAGTTTTCCGTTTTTTTTTTTTTTTTTTTTTTTTTTTTACATTTAGGTGTATTTCCAATACACACATTGTTTCTTCACTGTAGTCAAATCAGAAAACTTTCGATGAACTTTTGTCACATAACTTACACCCAAGTAAAATAATTTTGTATGTGCGCCACCTTACGGAGTCTTGTAAGAATAAGTTTATTAGTCTTACGAGTTTTGTCGACAATTGCAGTATTAATTCGATAAAAATTTGTTCTTAATATTTTGCACACGCACTTAGCGAAAGACTTTTATTAGCCTTATTTCTTGCTGTTAGTTTAATAATAAAAGAGTCGTATATTAGTATATTAAGTAACAACAATAATAAAACCTATTGATAAGAAGTTTTGTAATACTGATCAAAAGATTTATATAGATATATGTATATCATAAAGAGAAAGTCTTGTTGAATGTATTTAATACTCTTGCAATTACTGTACTACTTACAGATCTACTATCGATATTAAGTAGTAATGTATAAAAACCATTTTCAGTATATATTACATGGAAAAAGAATGTGATTTTCTAGTATTGTAATTTACTACGGCGATTACAGTGAAGAAACTTAACAAAAAAATGTTGACATATTGCGCTGTATGTGTATATAAAGCGTCTTTTTTTTTTGTTTTTCTTTTCTTTTTTTTTTTTTTTTTAGAAATGTTAATTCAATACTTGATACACATAGATAAGCAATTCTCCTAAAATTATGTTTGTACAACTTCTGTAATATTACCGTAAAATTATTCTTTTGCTTCAAATATATTGAAATTCTTATATGTACATGACAAGAATGTTCTTATACATATATATGTACATATAAATATGTATGTATATATATGTGTATAAGAACATTCTTGTACATATAAATAAGTATGTATATATATATAAGAACATTCTTGTCATGTACATATAAGAATTTCAATATTTATTTATTTATTCACATCAGCCTTCCCGGCCAAGAACGGGACTTGATTTAAGCTTTCTAATATCATCCATCCATNCATACCTTAACGTCTCCCATTCTCCCAACTTACATATATCGTTTTCTTACTCTAACTACTTCTACTTTGTACATTATCTTAGTTAACTTACGTCTAAATTGCACTTAACATTGTCCTATAAGAATTTCAATATATCTGAAGCAAAAGAATAATTTTTTTGGTGATATTACAGAAGTTGTACAAACATAATTTTAGGGGAATTGCTTATCTGTGTGTGTTTTTATGTATGTGTATCAAGTATATATATTTCGGTATCAACAAAAACTGTAAAATTAGATTAATAATTCGTTGCTCAATGTTTAAACCTAATTGATGATGAGTTTTTCTTTCTTCTCTTTTAATTATTATAATTTTGATAAATGCCTAATAAAAAATCAGATATGTTTTCAAATACGCACAAAATTGAGCAACGTAAGTTGCGGGAAATGTTTTGTAAATGTAGGACACATTTGAGACATGTAAATAATTAACACGAAAATAAAAGTTAAGTAAGATAAGTAAGCAATTTATGGTACATATGTGTACTAATATGAATGTATGAAAGGAATTTGTAACAAGGGATTAAAGTCAGTATTATTTCGCTGAAGTTTTTGATCTTTGGATATAAGGAAAGTATGTGATAACTGCAAAGCTTTTTAAGTTCTTAAGAATGGTAACTTGAACCGCAATAATTCAGCGAAATTGCATGGTATTTTAATCCTTGATCTGTACAGCTGTAATTATAAGTACTTTTAGCATATAATTTAATTTTTATCGAATATACACAAGCGATGTTATATAAGTGGAATCATCATTATTGTATGAAAAATATGAAAGGATTTTTCTAGTTATTTTTATATTTTTCATTTGCGATTTTGACACTTTGCATGCAAATGTGAACTTATGTCCAAACTGTTAAATTGTAACTTAAAAATAGTTTAGGTTACTTTTAATGGGAGAGTCAAATGTTTTTATCCTAACGGTCGCATATATGTCGAAATTTACTCGAATATTTCAGAATTTCGTAACGACTTGCGATTTGACGCGTTCTTGTAATTCGGATGAGGCTTGTTGCATAATTCTTTCTCCTATAGCTCCTATTGCGTCAATATACTCGGAATTTCCTGTTCTATATGCAAAAGAGAAATATAATATTTCTTTCATGTCTTTGCGTAGTAAAGATGATATGACAATTGTCTGAATTTGTTTGAATATTTGTACAACTCTCACGTACGTAACACGGAGAATAGCTCGTTCTGTAACATTGGGATCCAAGTTGTCACGTGGTTTGAGAGATTTTGGCCGTTTTAGCAAGTCTTTCGTTGCGATCATCCACGGATTTCGGTACGAGCGTTTTTGAAGTGTTTCAGGTATCATCCAGTCTTCTGGCAGTTTGACATCTCTAATAACGTGATCTAATTGCGACCAAAAGTTATATACAAAAACTTAGACTATACTCATGATTACAGAAAATAAACGGGAACACCAAGGATAATGTTCCAGAATTCACATTGTCAGTATTAAACTTGTATAATATACGTCAAAGTGAACTATAGATTTTTAGTACCAAGGCAGTGAGTTTTGGAACATAGCGCAAGTGATGTCTGCACACATTTTATTTTATGATATTTATTATATGTTCAAAAAATATATGGGATTCCATTTTATATATATGTATGTATATATATACATATGTATATACATATGTATGTATCTAATATACAAAGAAGATTAAATAAAGACTGTGTACGAGCAGCCAAACAGATGGTAGAAAAATAAAAATTATTGTCCAGTAGTATATTAATATAAATTTATATAATTTAGACAAATTAATATAAATTTATATAATTTAGACAAATTTATATAAATTTATATAAATTTACACAGAATATAGACTTGCGTGTGCGTATATGTATAAAAAAAATTTTGTATTGCGCGAGCACAACAATCTCGAAAGACAATATGTGCTTTTCTGCTGCTTATTGGAATACTTGTACATGGTCTTTGCTCCTTTATATATTAGTTTTATACTTAAAACAAACAAACTAGCCGGATTTAATATTATAATATCATTTTCCATGTATACTAGTTGAAGAAAAATATACTCTAAACTTGTAAATAAGCGATATAATGTAACCAAGTTCTCTTGCCAACTTCCTTCAAATAATCCACTTGATACACGCTCTTCCGTGATATTTTTTTTTCGCGTTCTATAATATTTTCGTCCGGCACAATTTGCGGCAAAGTTTTTTTCAAATGGGGAAACTTGTCGCGCATCTGTTTTTTCAATGGTAATATATATTTGCAACAGTGATGTACAGAATACAATTGAATTATATATACACATCTTTACTCTGTTTAAGTTGTCCTCTGGATCTTCGCTCTGTTCAATGTGAGGCAACAATTGATTTTCTAGTCGCGTGTTCAAGTACTGCTTGTACGGTCCGCTCAAGATATTAAAAGGTGGATAATCTATTAACGATCTATATTTGGTTAATTTTTCAGCTTTTTTTTGAGAATAATCTTTCTTGTAAACCGTCGCAAAATCTCGCAAATCTTCTTCGATTTCCAAGATCATTTTCCCGTTGTGTTAAGTTGAACAGTTTATTTTTTGATGAAGTTTAGCAAGTAACATTGCTGACAAAACGTGTAGGCTCGTTCATAATATTACAGATGTTTATATATAGGATAACCGCTTACAATTTTTTTTTTTTTTTTTTTTGATGTGACAAAATTCATGAGAAAAAATACGATCAAAGTGCAAAATTGAAGTCTCGGAAAAGTTACTATTTGAACAAACAAAAATACCTAGAAATTAAAAGCTGACTTTTTAAAAAAATAGATATAAAAATAGATATTTTTAATCTTAATACGTAATTTCTCTTGAGCGAATTGAGGGAGAAACTATTTATTTTTTAACACGAATTTTAATGCAGAAAAGACTTTCTGCCTAACTTAACATATTACCTAGATTTTAGATATTTTTCATATATAAAATTTGAAAAAAAAAATACAGGAACAATATTTATATGAGCAATATTAATACAATTGTTAAAATTATTGTTAACATTGTAATATCGATAATACTTGGCTTAAAACTTTGTTTAATACTTTTTGTTATAAATCTAGGTCAAGTTACAAATATTGGTGTACAATGTCGCCTGGTGAATCTTGTGATACAGGGATCGCGTGAATCGCCCGTAATGAAATCGGCAAGGTCTCCGGTAACTCACTTATTTATATCATACATAATACCGGACTCATATAATACCCTTAGGTACTATAACTTATATATTATAAATGCCAATTAGGATAAGACATCGGATTTCTTGGTTGCGCTCATTACTTTTCTCTTCCGCACTTTTTTTCTAGAATGATATTTCTCGGATTAGATTTCAGAAAAGCATTATTGAAACTGTTGTAGGCTACATATTTTATCTTAGTAATATATAATTAGTAATATATTTGTATTTTTTCTCATTTGTTCTTTAATCACTATTAATCCTAATCCTGTAAACATTGATTTTATCGATTTTATTATATTATCTTTCAACGTCTCTCGGTTTCAGTTCATAAGGCACCAGCTCCTCTTGCGTTTGACTCTGATCTTCTTCGAGTAATACCTCCAAGTCTTTGTCTTCGAATTTTTTTGGCTGTCCAGAGCGAGGCTTGTCTTCAACGCTGAAATCTTCATGCTTGAAACGTCGAAACCATTCCCTACATGATTTATCAGTTGGAGCAGCTACGTCACCATAAGCTTCGACAAGCATTCGATGAGCTTCAGCTGAACTTTTCTTCGAATTAAAGCAGCAAATTAAAATCTCCCGCAAATGCTGCTTGGTTATTACAAAATTTGACATTTCAAATATAATAAAAATCAAAGTTTTTGTATGAAACTCAAAGCGATATAAACTGAATCAGAAATGTCAGATCGTGCAGGCAGCATCGACGAGCATGGTGCATCGAGAGCATCGAAACGGCGGGACCCTCACCATTTCGGCTTTGTGTTCCAAAATTCACTGCCAGCGCTAAAGATCTATAGTTTACGTCACATATATTATACAATTTTAGCACTGTCAACGTGCTGGCAGCAATTCTGGAACACAGCTTTCGATGCTCTCGCAGCACACAAGCGAGAGCCGCGTCCGTGTGCGTGACGTCACGCTCGGTTGGCTTGTGGAAGAGTGCAGACATAGTATGTTCCGTCTTTTTTCCACCAAGCCGGCCACGAGGTAACGTGTACGTAACGCGTTTGTTCCGTACGACAACGAGTGTTGCACTAGTTCAGAGTTCATCTTTTTCACTCTACATTGGAAGAAGAAAGATAAACTCCGAACTAGTGTAGCCAGTTCAGATAAAAAGAACAGACCTCTTATTAGCAGATGTCTAACTTCTCTGAAACCGCCAAAATCATCTGTCACTATGAATCATTCACAACAGCCGGAGCCGTCTTTTGGAAACGGACCGAACTAATTTGTACTCCCAATTTTCATATACCTAGTTTCTTATTTTTTATAAATTCTTTTCCATTAAATATTCTTAAAAGTCTTCCATTAAATATTCTCATAATTCTTCCTAATTAATTAAGATGTTCTCAGTTTCAAAAATTGCCGCGCATTAACGTCTGAAGTTTACGCAATTAGAGGAAAAGTATTATGTTTGTTACACATATCATCCCCCCTCATACCGTATTTGTCTTTTTCCCGCATGTATAAAAACAATATTTACTTTCACAGATTTTCAAAATATATAAGTTACTGTAATTTAATTTACAATTGTTCTCAGATGTAAATATTTACAGCTTAATTTTTTCGTACATATTTCAGTTGTTTATCAACAAACTTTGCAAATATAACCGGCTGATATTTCAACATTTGTTGCACTTTCAATCACTGTGCATGGGACAAACGTTTGTCTACGCCTTTACATAGTTTGCCGTTTCATTCAAGTTTGCCGTGTAGCATAGTTTACATCTGTTCACATACACGATCGCTCGATTGTAACTGAATAAACTAAACCTGTTTTCCGACTCAACAATGGAAACGCACAACAAACAAGCAATCAAGAGTGAACAAACTGAGCAATAATAATTGTTTCGTCGCACGAGAGAAAAACCATAATCTAGCGTGTTATATATAATTTTATTGCTTTTTGATTTATTTATGTTTTTGTGCTCAAAAACAATTAAAAATGAAACACTGTGAAACAATGTCACCTTTTGATATTTGAATTCTTATTTTTGTAAGGATTAAGTTGTCTCTATCGTAGCATTTAATGTTGTAAATCATTGAATATCCGTGTTTTATAAATGTGAAAATAATAATTTCACCATATGAAAAAATAATTCCGCCGTAAATTTCACGAGGAAGAAAAGAGGATTACTTCTATATACGAGATGCTAATCGCATCTCTGTAAAAGTTTTAAATTGGATTTAATTGTAATTATCACGCGCATGTATTAATTTATACGTCAGAAAATATATTTTGCACGTACATCCGACGTTTGACTTTTACACTGGTTTTATTATTTTTTCCATATAGTTGAGAGCGCTTTGTACAATTTATATATTTGTTACTTGTCATAAATGTCTCACACGTTTCTATTCTTTCCTTCTGTTTCTATAATCGTTCTTATAATATTTGCATGTTCCGAAACTTGTAACTAGCATCGCGATATCTGACATTTATCAAATTCTTATTCGCTAAGACAGCAAAACACACAGAGTCTCATTTGTTTAAAGTTTTAAGAGGGTACTGGATACCGACTATAGACACCTGTAAACCGACGATTCTAAGATTTCTTTTTGAGCCGTATTTACTGCATCAAATCCAAAATGCTTCTACAGAAATAAGTGAATTGTGCTAAGAATTTGCTGTTGTTCTTTAAAATGTCCAAATTCAGCATAAATTTTTTCTTATACAGTTTTCTTCTATAACCTCATCATATCATCATGTATATAAAATTATTTCTAAGCTTATGTACGTATTTACACTGAACTACAGCAATAAGTACGACACTAAACAATCTAATGAAACACTCAGAATATGATTTG